GGCTCCGCCTTGAAGGTGACCTTCCTCTTGTGCTTGTCGAACTCCGTGCATGGTACCAGCGGGTGTCCACTCATGCTGCTCTCGATCTTCAACGTAGAAGTACCATGAGGTGTGTTAATGTATACTCGGCCTGGCCCGCATAAATGTATCTCGTTATTGACCAGGTCGATGACTGCCCGCTGATGTCGCATAGACTTGATGCCCCACAACGCTGGTATTGTAGATGGATCCTCCTCGGTGCCGACGACTGGGGCCGTGTAGGTAGTGTCGCTCTTCACATCGTTCGCGATGACCTTTAGAGGAATCGTGATGGCCCATTCGACGAGTTGGCTCTCCTTGCCGGCACCTGACACGTTGATGGGCTTGGGAAGCTTTTGCCACTTCACCTTGTCCATCATGCCTTGCTCGCTCAAGATGTTCAGGACGCGCTTGATGAACAGGTTGCCCACCAGATTGTCGCGTGCGCCGGTGTCCACCAGAAGTCCTTCACGTCCTTCGCCTGGCAACTTCGTCTTGAGGAGGAAGATCTGCTCGTCGTTCAGGTTCGCCGTGTTGAAACTGCTGGTCTCGTCCAGTTCCACGTCCAGGTTCCACCAGGGGAAGAATCTCGCTGATATCTGTTCTCCGTCGTTCGCCGTCTGATCCAAGATGCGAAGCTGATGCAAGATCGATGTATGTTGATGTTCTGCCGCGACTGCCTGCTGAGGCTGTTGGGGATTGAAGCTCCTGGTCATCAGTTCCCGCAGCTGTCGCTCCTGGTGTGTGACGTGGTCCGTGTTGATGTCCGTCGGGATGCCCATGCCGTCTGCGACGATCTGAGACCATTCCAAGACTGGTGCGTACGTCGCTGGCTCTTCGTGGGGTTCGTGACGCTGATGTTGATGTCCTGCATGAAAGAAATGTTGCTGCATCATATACATGTGCCCGGGTGCCATAGATTGATCCTGTCCGCCTGCTGAGGGAGATGCCGATGCCGATGCCGAACCTGCCGCATGCGTCAGGTGGTGAAGCTTGGGGCAATTCCTCCGCAGGTGTTCGTCGCTACCGCACTCGTGGCACTTCATCACTTCGCCTGTGACTGGGTCCTTTCTGTTCTTGCCGTGTCCACGGAAGCTGCTGCCCTTCCCCTTTCCACCCTTGAAGTACGTGGGGTCGTGCTGCTCTTCGACGGGGAAGTGGCTTGGCTTGCCGAATTGTCGCCGAAATCCTCCTTTGCCTTGTCCTGAGCGCCGACCGTAGTATCGCCGATTGAACCGTCTGAACTTCGTCGTCTTCTTCGTGTAGGCTCTATAACGCTTCTTTATGTTGAGGTATGTCTCGTACAACACAGTCGTGATATTCGTCCTGTTGGCCGGCACTCCAGGGGGAAGGAGATTCGATGCATATGCCTCTATTGCCTCGTCCGTACACTCTGGGTCCTGCTGGTCTTCGTCCGACTCCGTGTCGCTGTCGCCAAAGAAATCCTCCATCATGTAATGCTCATCTGGCGTGTTGACGTACGGGTCGCTCGTGGGGTATGCTGCTTGCTGTGGCATGGCCGCTGCTGCGGCCAAGCTGTCGCCCCAGGCCGTTGTAGCCTGAGGCGGCTCCACGTTTCCGAAATATGACAAATTTGCCTGCTGTCCAAGATGTGTCGTGTTCGAGTGTACGCCATGCGGATGACGTTCCAAGATATGTGCCTGCTGTCTGATGTGCCGCCTGAGAATGTTCATCTGATCTTCCGTCGTCGGAAGCTGTCCATTCAAAGGAATGAGTAGCTGAGGCCACATGACCGGTGCTACTTTGAGTGCTCGCAGTAATATCCACGCTAGTCCTTGTGGTCCCAGCGCGAAGTTCTGCAAGAGGTTCGTCGCCCTGTACACCGTGATGTCGAACCTCGAGAGTGCTTGATCTATCGATTCGCCTTGCATTCTGCTGAAACCCAACAACTGAGAAAGAAGTCTGATGCTTTGTTCTTCGTCCAGCTCGCCGAAACGTCGTAGAAGATTCCGCAACAGGATGGTGATGCCTGTCACGTGCAACATCTGCTGCTGTGTGTAGTCCCACTCTTGCCGTCCATTTGATAACTCATCCACGTTCATCTCTCTGCCCAGGACCCTTGCCATGCCTCCGAGCTGTAGAACTGCGGCTGGTCCCTGTCGTGCGATGGGTACCTCGGTGGCCGCGCTCCACAATATCAAGTCCTGAGCGTAGACCCACAACGGGTAGCTGGCCTCGAGCTCTGGCGACCACGATGGAGGCGTCTTCGCGTTCGCCATGTCGGGCTGAGGGTGTAGGCCAGGAGTGAACCGTTGGGGTCCGCCCTGCTGCACTGGGGGCTGTCCGCCCTTGCCGCCGAACATAGCTGATACCAAAAAACTAAGGAATATCTGAATTGACTGTCGAGGCCCTCTTTCTCGCACTCTGTACTGTCGAGGCTGTCGCCCGCAGCGCCGGTGTCGGAGAAGTTGATGAGCCCGCAGTGGTACTGTCGCCTGGCGGCGGGAGGGGGAGCAGCTCTGCTCCGCTACCACGTGCAGTGGCACGTGATATGACTCCTCTCCTCCCGACAGCGATGGCGGCGCAATGCAGTAAGGCTGTGTTTTCTGTATCGATCACTCGCACAGTACACAACTATGACGCGTCTTGAGCCAGTACATTACAGTACGGGCAGTGAATTCGCCGGGCCCCCGGTGAGCTCTAGAGGGCCCCGAGAGAGGAACGTGTGAGGCATGTAACAACTTACTCGGGAGGGAGGGAGGGAGGGAGGAAGGGAGGAGGAGGGGGAGGAGGAGAAGGAGGGAGAAGAGGAGGAGGAGGAGGAGGAGGAGGAGGAGGAGGAGGTGGAGTTGGAAGAGGAGGATTCTGCGGATTCTGCGGGCCAAAACGGATCACGACTCCTTGCGGTTTCGTGCCGTGGGCCGCCTGGCCGCGGCGGGCCGTCCCCGCGCCAACCAGACAGCCTGGGGGAAGCAGATTTCTCCACTCCCTTCGCCTTCTCGCACAAGCCCCCACTTCAGCGTTGTAGCTAAAATGAACTCGCTCGAGACTAAATTTTTCTCCAGCCTCGCCGCCCGCTTCTCGCGAGTCGCTGGCCCAGAGCTCGCACGCCGTGGCAGCGCGCTACCACTGCCTGCTTCTCGCACGCACGCTTGGGCAGCCCCGCTGCCACTGCCTGCTTGCTTTCCCCTTCTCGCACGAGTGGGTTTCCTCCACTCCTGCTCTCGCACGACGGGCTGATCTCTGCACTGTAACTGAGGGTAGCTCGTCCGTGCCCTGCCCTTTCGCCCAGAGCCCGTTCGTTGGCCCCTGCACTTCTCGCACGCGCTGCTTCTAGCGAGTGTAGCTAGATAGAGTCGGGCTCCAACTTTGCCTCCCGCTTCTCCCAGCACACTGTGGTGGCTAGGAAGGTGACGTTTGGCTCCAGCTTTGCCTCCCTCTTTTCGCAGCGGCTTGCCCAGATCCCAACGCTGAAGCTGACGACGTCGGGCTCTGCCTTCGCCCCCCACTTCTCGCAGGATGGCGCTCTTCTCGCACCCGCTGTTCCCAGAGGTGTTAGCTAGATGGCGTGTGGCTCCAGCTTTGCTTCACTCTTCTCGCAGCGGCTTGCCCAGATCCCAACGCTGTAGCTGACGGCGTCGGGCTCTGCCTTCGCCTCCCACTTCTCGCAGGATGGCGCTATTCACGCACCCACTGTTCCCAGAGGTGTTAGCTAGATGACGTTTGGCTCCAGCTTTGCCTCTCTCTTCTCGCAGCGGCTTGCCCAGATCCCAACGCTGTAGCTGACGACGTCGGGCTCTGCCTTCGCCTCCCCCGTCTCGCAGGATGGCGCCCCCCTGCGCCGCGGCAGAACATTGCTCGCTGTTCTCTCGCGCACTGTTCCCAGAGGCGTTAGCTAGAAGAGACACTCGGGCTCCAGCTTCGCCCCCCGCTTCTCGCAGGCCCTCCTTCTCGCACGGACGACTCCCAGCGTTGCAGCTGATCGTGGCCCACCCGCGCACTTTGCACAGCGCCAGCGTCCGCTGCCACTGCGCGCTCCCTTTCTCGCACGCATTGCTCCCAGCGTTGTAGCTGATCGTGGCCCACCCGCGCCTTCGTCCCTCTCGCAGCGTCAGCTCTGGCTGCCACTGCTTGCTTTCTCGCAGCCTTCCAGGGGGAGGATGAGGGCCAAGGCCATCGGGCTCTAACTTCACCTCCCCCTTCTCGCAACCGTTTTCTCGCAGCGCCAGCGTCCGCTGCCACTGCTTGCCCCCCTTCTCGCACGGGTCGCTCCCAGCGCTGTAGCTGATCATAGCCCGCCCGCACGCTTTGCAGCGCCAGCGTGTGCTGCCACTGCGCGCACCCTTCTCGCACGGACTGCTCCAAGCGTTGTAGCTAATCGTGGCACATCCGTTTGTGCTCGCTTTTCCCTCGATCCCAGCACTGTAACGGGTCACGTCGGGCTCTACCTTCGCCTCCCGCTTCTCGCAGCGCTGTAGCTGCTGACATCGGGCTCGTCCTTCGTCTTCTCGACGGATTGCCTGCACTCTGACCGCGGCGCCGCAACTGTTGGCGCCCCGGTTTGCCAGGAGGTGGAGGAGGGGGAGGAAGGAGCGGAGGAGGGGGCGGAGGGGGGCGGGCTTCCTGGCGGCTGCGCGCTCGCCTGGTCTCAGCGTTGCAGCTGATGACGTTGGGCTCCGCGCTGCTTCTTGACTGAGGCCTGGCCTCAGCATTTCTTCTTTACGGCTCGGGCGCGCAATGCCACTTCGAAGTTGGCGCGCCGCATCGTCCAGGAGGCCCGGTGCAGGCCCGGTGCAGGGGAGACCGCTCGGACGCGAAATGGCTTGGAAGAGGAGGAGGAGGAGGAGGAGGAGGAGGAGGAGGAGGAGGAGTTGGAGCAGGAGGAGGAGGAGGAGGTGGAGGAGAAGGGAGGAGGGAAGAGGGAGGAGGGAAGACGGAGGAGAGAGGAGGGAGGGAGGAGGGAGGAGGAGGAGGAGGAGGAGGAGGAGGAGGAGGAGGAGGAGGTCCCCACCTGGCCGGTCCGATCCACCCACATGAGCGCGGGGGGCAGCCGGTCCCGACGGGCCGAGGCCTCCCCTGAGGGCCCCGCGGGGGCGTCGTGAAACATGAAGGTCGCGACCAGGCTCACGTGGTCCGAGGGCCGCGCGCTGGACGGCAGGGCCGTCTCCTGCATCAGGGCTGGATCTTAACCAGCCTCGAACGTACGTATCCCTATCCCTGAGATGGGCGAGCAAAAAGCGAGGACAATCTTAGGGATAGGCCCTCAGAAACTGAGGGAATCCTTCAGATCGGCATCGAGGTGAGGTGATGTCAAACATAGGGATAGGGATATGCTTCAAACTGGTAAGATCTGGACTCTGTTCTTCGGTTCGTTTGCGCTGTGCGTCTCGTGTTGCTCTGCCCGTTTTCCTGTGCCTTCCTCCTGCCAAGCCGAAACACAGAACACAGCCGAAGTCCAGCAGAGCAGCGTTCAGGCCCAGCCCTGTCCTGCATCAGCTGCGACTCGTCGTCGACCTGCGAGATCGCCAGGACGGCCAGGTTGTCCGGCGTGAACCTGCCGAAGGCGAGGGAGGGGGATCGGGTGCAGAAGTCGGAGGTTTCTCCTGTCGGGCGCTGTCTTCCGTTCTCCGCAGTGTTGCAGCCTCGGGATGCTCTCTAGCAGCTGCCACTCGCCAAGAGTTTTCAGGGGGGGCCCCGATCGTCCTGAGCGGCCGCCAGATAGCCGAGCTACGGCCCGAAAGCCGAAACAGAAAAAGGCCATAAACCCACACGAGTGGAGCTCCACACAGATTTCTTGTGTCGGCGATGGCCCCCCCTGGTGGCGCCTCCGGCGCCGCCCCGTGCGAGCTTCGCGCGCCAGGGAGGGGGATCCAGCGCCCAGCGCCAATCCAAAAGATCCGCGCGGAGCTCCGAAAATCTACGCTTATCCCGTGCTTTCTTCCTTGATTTCCAGTGTGAGCCAAATGTAGTCCAGCGCGCCCTTGAAGTCCTCCGTGTAATTTGTGTACTGCGCCTCGCGGCCGTTGCAGGTCTGGTACGCGGTCGCCATGCAGAGCGAGTGCCGCAGGGACAGCTTGCCCATCAGGCCGCACGGGTCGTTCCGCAGGTCCTCGTGGTCTCCGCGAACGTTGCCCTTGCGCAGGTACTCGTACACCTAACGGAAGCAGAAACAACTTATACAGAGAGTAGGAGTTCGACCGCAAGAAACCTTCCACAAGAGACCCAACCCTGAGACCCCAGAACGTCGATGGATTATGGTACTAGAGCGTCGTGCTTTCCAAAGCAAAGCCATCGAAACCCAAGAAGCACCCTGGAAGCAAGCAGGGTGTTTCTTGGCATGGGCTTCCACTGTAGGGGGAGAAGAAGCGGCATATGCATGGACATTCGGAGTTCTGCGCACGTTGCTTAGATCGGCGCTGGAGCCCCCCCCCTTGCGCGCGGAGCGCGCCTGGGGCGGCGCTGGAGGCGACGCCAGTAGGGCCGATCGCCGATCCAAGGAATCCGTGCGGAGCTCGGAAAGTTTCTGTCTACTTGCCGGTAAGAAGTGGGTAGAAATATGCAGTAAGAAAGCGTGCGTTGGAAGAAGATTGGACTCCCGCTCGCCCCGTGGAGGAGGGAAGAGGGAATACCGGTCGACTCTCGAAGTACGAAGGCGGCTGAGGCAGATTGGGACCTCGGGATCCAACAATACCTACTTCCAGCGACCGACGAGTATGCAGGTTTTGCTTCGAACACCGCAGAGTCGGGCGTGGAGTTGAAGTCACCGCATATCAGGAGCGGCATGTTGCCGATGGGCATCCCCTTCAGCGTCTGCACAAGGAGGTGGGCCTGTCACTTGTTTTGCTTGTTACCATCCGCAGCGCGCCACGCGGAAGAGAGAGGAGGGGGATGAGGAGAAAATGAGGAGGAGGAGCAGGACCAGTGTAAACCCAAGAGTCATCAACGATATTGCAATGCACCCCCCCTCCAAATTCCCTCTTCACAGGGCCATGCAATGATTCATTATCACTCAGGGAATTGCCTCGTTTGAAGACAACTGTTTGAACATCCGAAACCATGCCAGAACACCATTCCTGGAACTGCAACGCCGCGAATCACCGTTACTGTTGAGTAGTCTTGACGATCCTGAATCGTGTCAATCACCATTCCTGGGACTTCAACACTGCGAAACAACGTGAGGAGGAGAAAGAGGAGGCAGGTGGGAGGAGGTGGATGGTGGCGGCAGAAATTATCCCGCCTGCCTACTCTCCCCGAGCCTCTTGGACGACTCTGTCGAGAAAGGATCGGTTGAGGACGTGTCGCTGTCTACCCCTGGTGGGCAAGCGAGTCGCGACCCTCCACCGATGGCGATGGGGGACAGAAGAGGACAGCGATGCCAAACGATATGCATGATAAACAGCGACACTACATGTCAAATGAGGGCGAGGGAGGAGGATGAGGACCAATGCAAACCCAAGATGCACCAATGATGCTGGAATGAAACTTCCCCTATTGCGATACATTCCCTGTTGGAAGACAAACATCTGATAATCCGCAATCGTGACAAAACACCATTTCAGGAAATTCAGCGCCGCGAATCCAAATGATAGTTGAGCCATTACACTCACCAATCGTGTCATAACGCCAGCACGCCATTCCTGGGACATCAACACAGCGAATTAACCCAAGCGTTGCGCCCTGACATTGCTCAACCGTACCAAAACACCAGTCCTGGGACTTCAGCCATTCGAGCCCTTGAAACAGCTGCAGACGTTGAAGACGAGTCTGTGCGGCGCGAAGGCAAGAGTCACATTTTAAAGAGCAGTCGCCCTCTGTTTGTGAAACTCTGGCAATTGTTTGAAGCGGGTGTGCCCGTCTCTGAAGCGAGAGCCTCACTGTCAAAAACAACCGCCCTCCATCCGTGAAACTGTTTCGAATTTGATACGCGAATTTTCGCGGCGCTGGGGCCAGAGCCACATCTTGAAAGGGACCCGCCCTCCACAAGTGAAACTGTTAAACGCCTTCTAAGGAACATCTTCACGGCGCCAAAGCGAGAACCACATTTAGGAAGCCCATCACCCTCCATACGTGAAACTGCTGCAAGCCTCAAGCCTCATAATCATTAAGTGTCAGAAAGCCCCCCCCCCGCCCACAACCAACACGTCTGGGGGTGCGACAGGGAGGCGTTGCTTATGAGGCAAAGGATGGAGGGGACGGGAAGGAGGAGGAGGAGAAGGAGGAGAATGAGGACGGGGAGGGGGAGGAGGAAGATGAGGATTGGAGGAGGAGGAGGAGGAGGAGGAGGAGGAGGAGGAGGAGGAGGAGGAGGAGGACTGGGGAGGGGAAAGCAGAGGAGAAGGGGGAGGGGGCGGACGAAGAGTGGAGGCTAGCCTGCCACAGCTTCACGTCCGCCGCGCCGGGGTCGCAGAGGATGTGGGTGTTCACCACGCAGAGGGCGTGGCCCCCGCTGGGGCCCGGCACCTGGCTGCTGTGGGTGGTCTTGATGTGCAGGTCCTCCAGGACGACCGCCAGGGCGATGTTGCCCTCGCCGGGCCGGCCGCCGAGCGCTCTCCCCCTCCCAAGTGCAGGTCAGCTGCCGCGTCGGCACGCCATGGAGAGTCCGCACGGTGGTCGCGCGGAGGTGGCGCGGAGGTCGCGCGGAGCTCCCCATGGACCCCCACGAGGCCCCGGCAGAGCCTCTGCCACCCTCTCCCCGGGAGCTGGCGTGCCGCACCGGCGCGGTCGCGCTGCGTCGGCGATCCAGGACCGGGGAGGCTTCTTCCCGCAGTCCGCGGCGCCTGGGCTCCCGCCTCGGGATCCCGGGACCGGCAGGAATCGATCTGGGGTGAGAAGCGGATTGCCCCAGCATGGCGCCTTCGTAGCAGCAAAAGAGGCGTGTCGAGAAGTAGGAGGTCGTGACAGGGCCATGCAACCGGACAGGGGACGGCCCACGAGTTGCTTGACTGCCCCCCGGGGTCCAGAGTGGGGTCCTCCAGAAGGCCAAGATCTGCCAAAAGCCATCGGTCGCAAGTTTCGTCGCAGCGCGATGCCCAACAACTCCCCCCCTCATCCCAGCCTCCCTCGAGAAGCTCGCCGAGGTTGGCGCCCGCCTTGAATCCCACCACTTCAGAGCGTGTGGTTTTGGGAGTTTCCTTAGTGTTCTCTTCCAACCCCCTTCTTCCCCGTCGGGAAAGGGTTTACCCGTCCACCTTCCCCTGGACCGCGGGTAGCTGGAGCGTCCAAGATGGCCTCGGCGAGAAGGACAGCATCAGTGTTTTAGTATTACGGTGTTGGCCGCATGTTGGCCTCCTGGGGGCGGGACCCTAACTGAGTACGGCACGTTCTTTCATCGATCTTTTCCAAGATGGCACAAAGATGGCCCCCGAGGCTCCCGAGGGTGACCCAAGACGGCCCCAAGAGGCGCCCAGGAGGCCCCAAGAGGCCCCCGAGACGCCCCAAAAATGCCTCCACGATGCTCCCAAGAGACCCGCAAGAGGCCCCGACAGGCACCGCAGAGGCACACAAGATGCCCCGAGACGACCCCAGGGACCGCCAAGAAACCTCCAAGACGCCCCAAGAGGACTACAAGAAGCTCCCGAAAAAACATCCGAGGATACTCCGAGAGGCAGCATGAGGCCTCTGGCCTTTCTGCTTGCCCTCCTCCTCCTTCTCCTCCTCCTCTTCTTCCTCATCCACCTATTCCTCTTTGCTCCTCCCTCCTCCGTCTCCCACCCTCCCTATTGGCTCCTATTGGCTCATTAGCTGTCCGTTACCGCTGAGCGATAAGGCAGCCCAAAAACAGTGCAGAGGGCAAGTGTTGAAAGATGGGGTTCAGACGGGGGCGGACGACCAACCCGTTTGAACCTGCCATCTGAGCGGAACAGACCTCCCGAAGCTCGTCTTCGAGCTGGGGTCCACTCCATTCCTGAGCATTCTGAGACCATCAGCGGCATCACGGTTGCGAGGACCTCCTTCACACCGAGTCCCCAGGAGCCGAGACCGAGCGGACCCAAAAGCGCCGCAACGCGTGCACCAGGCCACCCGACCCCCACCAAGCCAGAGCCTGTGGCTCTGGTGCGCCGTCCTCGCAACCCTCGGCGGACCGCCGCAAGGCGTCAAGGCAATGTGTGCTCTCGAGCGGCCCCTCTCGCCGCACGCCGCACATCTGTACTGCTTGCCAGACTTCTCAATTAAATGCCCATTGGGCTCTGGAATCAACTGTAGCACCTGTGGCTTGGGCCGACGAGGCCTGCGCACACGCGCCACGTCTGGGAAATTCTTAACCGAGAGGTCGTTCATGACCTCGGCAATCAACCAGGCCGACTGTTTGACTAAACTAAAACTATGTTTAAGCTGAGCCTTGACTAGGGGGTTGGTGGGATGAGCCTGGGCCCCAAGCTTGGCGAGCTCGTCTGCCCGCTTGTTGCCTCTCCACTCCCACTCACACACCCCCTGCCTACGGGCCTGACCGAGGGAGAGGTGAGACCTAACCCTACGTACCGAAATCAGATCACGTCCGAGATCCCCTGCCAGCTGAAATATTTCCCTCCAAAGCTCTGAATATGCTACGTCCTCAAAGTTCTGCTCTGGCCCGAACCCCCATATATCTTCCACCATCTTGCAATCCGTGATCACATCGAGCCCTAGCGGGCCCGCCAAACGCAACGCCATGAGGAAGGCGTACGCCTCCCCTGCCCCCGCGAGCTGCACGACGTGCGGCAGGGGCCCGTACGCCGAGTCAATGATGTGCCCGCTCGCCGTGACAGTGGGGCCAGGGAAGACTGATCTTGGTCATACCCTGATCCGTCTAGACACACTCTTTTGTCGAGCACCCCGTTCGGCGGCACCACGTCCCACCGAAATCCTGCCTGCTGGCACGGTGTGGGCCAAGCCCACTCGACACTCGGAAAGAGCGCCCTCGTGTGGAGCGCCTCCGTTCCTGGCAGCACCGGCGTGTCCAACAACTCTTGGACTCCGAGATCTCGAATTCGTGGCTGATGGGCTGGGCATCGAAACCTGTGTAATGCAGAACCTACTTCTCCTTGGCACAGCATACACTTGTTGTCCAAAACTCGCCTGTCCTGGTACAGCTTATCCTGAGTCTGATACCCGCCTGCGACCACACCCGCGAGACCCGCCGCCGCCTGCCACCTGCCCTTGGCCCTGAGGTCCCTGAGCACTTCGATGACTGGTTCCAGCAGCGGCCCCTCGTCGAGTCCTTCCACGCGACCATCCCCAAGGCTTCTGACAAGGTGTTCCCGAACAAACCTCTCCAGAACCATCTTCAGAGAACGTCCTCCAAGATACTCCAAGTCGATCTCTAACCCCGAGTTGGTGACGAACAGGTTCCAGGCCCTCGGTTCCAAGCCTATCCGCCTAAGGGTCAAGACGACCGCACCTGCTGGACCTCGCACCTGGCTCCAGTCGAAATCCTGCTTGTTCCTGAAAAACTGGAAACTCTGCTGCATCGCCTTGGGCTCCACCCACTTGTTCCTGACCGCCCGGCCCCACATGAGGAGCGGCAAAAGGTTCGAGTCGAACGCTGGGTCCCCCTTGGGCCCCTCGCTGAGAAGAAACTCCAGAGTCCTGCTCCTGCCCTTGGGAGCCCCAAACACAGCCGCACCAACCGCACTCCTTATCTGCTGCAGCTTCGTGGTGGCCACCCCGTTCACTCTCGCTCCATATGTGGTAGCAGCAAGTCCCCCAGAACGGGCCACCCGCATCATTCCCTTCCTAGAGCTCCTGAGCCCGCGGATCCTTCCACTGCGCCCCTTGAGGCGCCTCAGCCTGGCTTGTAACACCTTGGACCCACGGGTCCCCTTGGCAGCCATCGTTTGGTCACATCCCAGATTCCTTCCCGAAAGCGCCCCCTCGAAGTTCCACTTCCGAAGCTTTCTGACTATGACCTGCCGCGTGCTCGCGTGGGTGCTCAGCACGAGGCCCTTGGACTGTGAAATCACTAACAGTAGCCGCTCGAGCAGCGTGCACAAGTAAAAGATCGCCCTCGGCAGCCTGACTTCCACTTGCGACGAGTGACCAGACGACTGCAATGTGATATCATCGACGACGTTGTATATGCCTATGCTGCCAAAGTGCTCGCAAGTCGAATCCAAGGGGTCCAGCAAAAGGCAGCTGAGCAAACTGGTCGCTTCGCCGCAGCCTGCAAGAATACCCTGGTCAACTTCTGCCACTAACGCGCACACTCCTAGAATGCTGATGATCCGCTTGCCGCGATACAAGGACAGCTTCAAACGAAGACGAATCATCTTATATCTATGCTTGACTGCTGCCCGAGCGAGAAGGTAGTGGTTCACCTTCTCGCATGCCTTTGTCGAGTCCACGAGCCCACATGCCGAGCAGCCTCCTGCACTGATGTGCTGCTCGACCACTAGGCTTTGCTCCCACACCGCCCTCTCGCAACTTCTACCCGAAATCCCGTGCCTGTAGGGCCGCTTGACCGAAGCCTCCCACGCACGGATCTCAGGTCGATCTAACTTCGAGAAGACTCTGACGGGGGTTGGGAGCAAGCCTATCGGTCGAAAGCCTCCTTCGGGCTTACCTAGCATCGCGAGGACCGTGGTCAGCATCAGGGTGGGGTACGTCCCAAGACACTCCATCCAGACCCAGAGCTCACCGAGCACCTCGAGGATCCCACCTGTGGCCTTGTCAAAGTCCCTGGGCCTGAGCATGTCGATCCCGCGCGCCGTGAAACGCTTAAACCTCCTCGCTGCAGCTCTGATCTCACTGGGGGTCTTTGGGGGGCCCACTAGATCTTCCAGCCTGCAACCCTGCTCCTGCGCCTGCTTATCTATCTCGCTCGTGGGGTACCCGATGGGGTCAGGAAGACTCCTAGCAGCCTCTGGAGGGGCCCAATGTCCTAGCCAGTAACCGTACAAGTCGTCCACCTGCTCCTGCGGGCCCATGGGCACTCTCGGGGCATCCGACTTCTTAGCTCCAGCTGGGGCCTCAGGGATCCAACCTATGGGGACCTGGCTGTACTTGTGGGCTTGGCCCCCTCCGTTGGCCACCGCTTGCTTGACCCACTCGCGCCACTGCTTGGACCGTTCAGAGGCGAACGATCTCTCCAGCGAAAGTGAAACCTTGCCAGCCTCTTCGCCCCAGCGTCGGAGCTGCTCAACATCTGCGTTCACCAACTGCTCTCGAGAAGGCCTCCAGCCTTCCCAATCCTGCTGCTCACGAAGCTCGTGTGGGCCCCGTCGTATTTGCCCCAGGATCCCCATGGTGCTAGCCTTCCCCCCACTCCGAAGCGCTAGTCCTGAGGTACGCGAGCTCCTGGAACCAAATCTCAACTCTCCTCCATCCTCTGCTTCGTGGGCAGCCAACTGGATACTTGCCTCCTGAGGTCTTCAAGGCGGGTACCATCCTGAACTCGGGCTCCCTGGACCTTCCAAAGTACTTCTTCTGATCCGAGACCCCGTGGTACTCTCCAAGCTCCGTCCCAAGAAACCCCATAAACTAAATAAAACAGCTGTCCAGAGCCTGTCGGCCACCACGCTGCCTCGCCTGCGCCAGCAGCTGGTGGT